GAACTCTTGTCCCTGCCACCATCTCACCAAAACCTCCAAGTTTGACAGCAGCAGAAGTCCAATCAAACCAACAGGTGATTACTACACAGGAGAACCATCTGAACCTTACCTTCTGCAGCTTGCTGTTCAGACTGAAGACTCTGTTGGAGCTCACTGAGAGTTCCTTGCAGGTTGAGTTGGTCTGTCTTCCTGCTTGCTCTCTCAATAGAAAGTAGCTTCATCAGGTGTAAAGAACATAAGGAAAACAGGATAGTTCAGTAAAGGACATCACGTTTTTACACATTATAACACATCAGGTAAGTTTTTTGCAGATTATATTTTGATAAGACTAAACCTTTAATAAGGAACACAATGAGACTGTCTACCTCATCCTTGCGGTCAGACTCTTGTGATATTAGAGTGATCTGCTCCTCCAGTTTTGCAATTTGCTGTAACAACTTGCTGTTTTCTAGCTCTTCCTCGTTCAACTGTGTCTGGACACGACTAGCTTGCTCCTGATGAATAAGTTGAGAAAGTATGAAACAATGTAGGGTACTGGATACACACAGTTCAGTACATGTGCATGAGGGATAGTCAACAATGTGTTACCTGCACTTGGCACAGCTCCTCAGTCAAGGCCATTTCAGCCATGTCTGAAGGAGGCTGCTCATCCCAGATGTCATTATTTTCTGTCCCATTCAGGTGTTCCGGGCTTGAGAGAGGCACGATACAAGGCCGCAAGCTGTATGCTTTGGTGGGCGTGGTGAGAATCTGGTAACACAGATAATGGAAGGACAGAAAATATAGATATTTTTCAGATTGCTTGTTGTTGAAATTTGCAAGGCAACAAAAAACATTATATTAAAGCTAGTTTGCCTCATATTGATCTGAATAGCACTTTCAATGTCGCCTTACCTTTATAGTTTCAACGTGAATTCTGTTCAACTCAGAGACCTCCTGGTTTTTGTATGCATTTGTGGCTTCCAAAATTTTTTCCAAGTGCCTGTTGGACTTGTCAAGGTATCTTTTCTCAGACTCTAGCTGAGACAACTGTTTCCTAAGACACAAAGCATCGCCATCAGAAAAAAAAACAACTAAGCATTTCAAAACTACTTTATAAGTCTATAAAGGCATTGCATGAAAATGGCATCTTCATTATGATTGCTAAACAAAGCCCCCTTAAATTTAAAAAAATTTGATTCCAGATGTCAAAGTAAAAACATCTTCCAGTGGCTGGCAATCAGAACTGGCAGTAATATTTTAATTTATACAACTGGTAGATTCAACAAGTACCACCACACATACGAAACAGAGTGAGGTACTGTTTTGCCAAATTAGCCAGCTCAAATGAAAGTAAGGTAACTAACTAAGATAATTTTTGCTAATTAAAAAACTGTATTAACTCCTTCATTCAGCTGACCTTACCTGACAAATGTCTCCATGAAAAGAGCCTGAACACTATGAGCTCAAAAAGGTGTTCTACTATTTACTCTTAATGGATTTCATGAGGGTGAGAGTTCTTGGAATTCATGTCTAGACTTTGGAGGGACTTGTTCCTAAACATCTCCTAAGTTTCTGGATAATCCCCATATGAATTTGGTTTTAAAGTGATTTTCTTTATATAGCCTCCTTACTTGGTGATTTCTTTGTACTCCTCAAAAGCCTGAAGGGCGGCTGTAAGGTCGGACTGTTTTTGAAGCAACTGAGTCTTCAGTTTCTCAGTTGTAGATGCTGAAGCAGTATCTGCAGCCATGGGAGTTGAAGAGGCTGCTGGAACAACATGAGATTATTATTATTATTATTTTCTTTACTACATCAGCTCTCTGATGATAATCAACTTACACTCTGTGAGTCTTTCACACTCAACAGCACTCTGGAAGGCTTCTTCAAGGTCGGCAGAAATTTGAGCTTCTACCTCTTCAGCTTTCATTAGTGTTTCAAGAGAACGGAGTTGACGGTTCTCCTGTCTGAGGCTGAAATTCTCTGCTGCATATCGAGTCATTTTTGGGTGATGCTCAACCTTTAAAGGAAGCAGTGTGTACACAAAGGGGGCAATGAACAATTACAGCAGTACATGATGGAGGTGAGGTGATTGATGGAGCTTTATGGCTATTATTAGAAGAAATATGAAATAATTAATAGAGATGTAACCCTAGAAATTATGCTGCAATAGTCATCAGGAGTGGGTGAAGACAGTGCTCAAAGTACATACTGTTTTTTTCTTTACCTGATCTCTCAAGATCTTAATTTCTTCTTTCAGCTGGTCAATCAGAGCCTGAGACTCTTTGTCTGACAGCAAACCTTGTCCTGCCTTCAATTTTTTCTCCAGGCGAGAGATGTGGTCTTCACGAAATCTGACAATCATTCGGCTGGAATGGATGAACTTGTCTTTTTGTGCCCAAGCCTCCTCAAGCTTGGCCACCTTCTCAAGTAGCATCTGAGTGTAATAAAAGACAACTGTAAGTCAGATACATATAATGATGGTAAAGAACAATAAACAACTTTCCCATACCCTTTTCTCCTCTTCTCGCTTCCTCCATAGACAAACGGCAGCCATAAACTTTCCTTTATATGAGACATCATGCTGAACTTCTAAGGATGGACCTGATGAGAAAAAATTATTTACTCTTTTGAAACACATCTAACTGTGCATATAATACAGTAGGCTTAGTTACTATATGTAAAAACTTAAGAGTATTCAACTCTGAACATGTGCAAACAGTTTAAAAAGGATGTTACTTTGAGAGTCAATGTAACATCCTCTTTAAAAGGGAACACATTTGATCGGCATATTGTTACCCAAGGGGAGTATGGGTCCTCCTGGTGCTATATCTCTCCCATAGTCCACTGCCTGAGAAGCCAGTGCCTGTGCAAGCTGCTCCTTCAGCTTCTTTACTTCAGCTTGCAGCTGCCTCACATTTCCCTGAGTGTCTTCATTGATTACAGCCTTGTAAAACAAAATAATTGCACAGGGGTGAGATTATAAAGTGCTCTAGTTTTCAAAATTAGGTTACATCAAGTCAGTTATAATAAAATATAGAATTGTGTTGGATGACGTGTACCTTATTCTTGATCAACTTTGCTCTCTGGGCAAAGTGCAGCGTGGACAATGTCTCACCAAAACACCTTGAACCAGGGTGTACATTGGCTATGATGTAAGTCTTTGCATTTCCTCCAAGAGAGTCCTGCAACGCCAACAGATCTTTGAACGCAGTACTACAAAGTGCTATGCTTTATGAAAACAAAAACTCAAATAACAGGATCATGTAAAGTGTATAAAATGTATACCTCCTAATTTCAAATTTAAATCACATCAAATCATCAATACTTGTTTAAAGTCCATAATTGGGTTGAGTATTACACAATAACCTCCCAAAACAAATATACATAAGAGATGTTAGCAGACAAAAAGAGAACAAAACAATGTGTTTAAAATAGGAATTAAATTAAACAAACTATTCTACCTAAACACACACCACCCACAGTATGGTATGCATGGTGTGTTATGGCATTGTACATCAATGAACATAGAAAGAAAGAAAGAAAGTCACTTTCGGCTTTTCCCCGTGTAGGGGTCGTCACAGCGAATCGTCACACTGACGACTCGCATGTTGACATTTGGCATGTGTTTTACGCCGGATGCTCTTCCTGACGCAACCCTGATTCGAACCCGGGGCGCAGCGGCGAGAGCGATTGTACATCAATGAACATACAACGCCATAATTCCTGGGACAATGACTTGTATAGTTTACACACCAGCATTCACAGTAACAAGTCACAATGTCAGTCAAAATGCACCAAAAAAAATTATTTAGTATTTCCAATACTCACTCTTAGCAAGAAGGTGAGTTTAGAATCCCTGTAGCAGATGTGGCGGTTCTTCCCATTAGACACATCCACCAGTGCCATGATCACCTGACCCAAACACATTAGGGAGCGATTGATACTACTGGCCTCCTGAAAGAAAAGCAATGCAGATACCAGCTGTTAACAACAACAGCGATCATAATTGTAGCACCTCAGACTGAGACTGAATGAATGCACACAGCTTCACCTTGAGTCTAGAGCCCTCTGTATGTGTGTCTTTCTGTCTCTCAGAACCTGCCAGATCCACAAGGTTCAGCTGAGATGTTCGGATGTTCACCACTTCGTTCATAGACTCTTTGGACTCCAAAGCCATGGTGAACACTGCATGAGATCTGGAAGACTCACGGTTCATAGAGGTGGAGGCCACTCGCCGATTACGCCAGCCCATAGAGAGAACCTACAAATGTTGTATAGTTTATTATGACATTTAATTATCAGCATCCAATCTTTCCATGGATTCAACAACATACTTAGTATAAATTTTTACTTCACTGTATTTTTTATCCATTTTAAATTATTTCTTTAAACTTTTATCTTATGATGTTTTTTTGCACAAAATGATTTTAGACAATAGGATAAGAAAGATGAATACAAGGTGAATAAGAATCAAATGTTTCATCACAACATTGACAAAATTCCTACCTGGTAAGCTTCAGCAGCTGAGTTAACAAACTTCTCCACAGCTCCTTCTACAAACACACCCTTCTTGATGTTCTCCCTGAGAAAAAGGCTGGCTGAGGCTGTGTCCAGAAGGTCATAAATTTGTTCATTGTATATCTCAATAAATGAACATTTGCAAAGGAAACTCCTGGAGTGGGAAGACTTTTGGGAGAGAGAGAAACAAGTCAGTACAAAAAAAAGAAACAAGTCAATCAGAAAACAGATCTGAACTAATGGTTTATATCATTTTTGTGGTGATGAAGCATCACTGCTCACCTTTTCCACTTCCCTGTTGATGAGAAAAAACAGGTACTCAAAACTTCGAGGAATAACTCCCCGTAGTTCATCTGTGAAGTTATCCAAATCAGATGGCCCTAAAGCAAGAAAGAAATTGCTCCACTGCTTGATTTTAAAGAGTTTGTAGTATGCATGTAAATAATATACTGAATTCTCACCAAGCATGGTGAATGTTTTTCCTGAGCCAGTCTGTCCACTGCAGAAGCAAGAGAAGAAGCTGATATGCAACTGAAGGAGTACTGCATATGATGCACAAAGCAGTGGTTGTGCCATAAAAAAATGTAGTTTTATACTGTACATAAACAACATAAATATCACTTACTAGGCAAATATAGTACCATTGTATCCATTCATGCAAGACTCAACTATATTCTTGGCCACAGTGGAGAATACAGAGTCCTGTTGAAAAATTATCGATAAAGATCACACACACAGACCAGGAACAACTTTTTAGAGTCATACACAATGTCTCCCCATGCTCACAAATCAGCTTATTAATTGCTCAAGCTAGTTTTATCCTTGCCAGTGGTTTGTTGATGACAAATGTGTGCCCCCAACCTGAGATGTGTCCATGTCTGCGACATGATCATAGGTGAAGGTTCGTGGTTCTGGTTTTGAGAGCAGACGGATGGTGTTGTGTGAGGTGACTGTGAGACACAGATTCTGATCTCCATCTGTGATTAGCCCGGTACCCTGGGTAAAAGGACGCACTCGCACAAAAACTTTAATGGAATCGCCATCACCACTGTAGAAACAAAAAGTAACAACACACACAAAATAAAAATTGTATGGAAGATGGTGAACATCGCCATGAAAAACATACAGTAAGAGATGGTTACTACAGGAGGACATGAAAACATTTTTTCAGTTTTCAGGATTTTAATTATAACTTTTTGCCAGTCAGAAGAGTACACTATATAGTCAAACTCAAAATCACCTTAGAAAGACAAATGTAAACACACAGATACCGTATTTATACTGCATAATTACAGCACTGATTCAGGACAGCATACAAAGGGATATGTTGTCTGTGTGAGCAAAACAAGCAAAGGGACCTGAAGGTACATTACCTGGCTGCAAGTTGGGTTGAATCACAAGATCCTATCAACGAAAGTATAAGATTGTTAGCGTTTATTTATCTGAAAGTTTGAATTCCCAAAACTATGTAACCAGCGCAACGTTATACTGCTACGAGGTATATGACGTACTGTACGTATTACTTAACTATCACTATTTTATCGTAAGACAAGTTAACAAACCTGTAACTGCACTTTTTAATAGTTGGTTGACTTAAATATCAAAATGGTAGCGTGAGTTGGCGTTAGCTAACTTAACTAGCATAAGCTATCTTTGAGTAAGTTGGACTAACTAACTTAGCTTGCTAGTTAGAAAACAGTGAACGTTAACGTCAGCCGGATTGACATGTTGAAGGCAAATTTTCGTGTGAAACAAACATATATGTGTCTGATGTGCTACCTCTTCCACTGGAATTCATTTCCGACAAAACTATCCGCCGTTATGTGATAAAATTAATATCCCTCGTAGCATGTCAATTACCATGAACCCAGAACATCACTATTTACATCCTTTCAAATTGGCGGGTATGGCAGCTGCTTCTTCTTCTTCTTATGGTGTTTATTGGCGGTTTGCAAGCCAACCTACCGCCACCTGCTGGGCTGGAGTGTGGAACACTAATAGAGCCGCAGATATACTGGCCGCAGCCGAAATAACCTTGGAAATCAACTGGACTTGGATATCTAGATCGAAGACGTTTCACCTCTCATCCAAGAGGCTTCATCAGTTCGAACGTCTTCGATCTAGATATCCAAGTCCAGTTGATTTCCAAGGTTATTTCGGTTGCGGTTTACTATGACCTGGATGACTGAGAATCTGCACAGATATGCAGGAATACAGGGCACCTGAGCTTCTTCTTCTTCTTCTTCTTCTTCTTTGAGTTTATGGCGGCCTACAATCCAACTTGAATGTGCTTGTCTCCACTTACTGTTCCGGTGTTCGTAACATCATTACTGTAATGGAGTTCTCCTATCCTTAAGAATAGACTTGCTTCCATTAAATATATGTAGCCCTTCGTACCTGTAATTGTTTGTCCCTATCTCCAACAGGTCCTTCATGCTGCACTCAATTTCCATTCCTGTTTTTGTATCTCTAGTGAATCACTAGATCTCACTAGTGAATCTTCTTCTTTGGCTTTTATTGCTTTAATTATTTTTTTAATATCGAAGGTACATACCTTCATCTGTTGTAACATAGTGGCTTTATGTTGGCGTTAACGCCGAATATTAAATGCCTGAAGACTGTAGATATAACTAGATATGCTGTGCAGTGACTTTGTTATCACTTTATCTGCAGCTCGAGATAAAAAATTGCAGTGAGAGAAACCTTCCAGCCCCACTTCCCACTTCGCTTTCAGTTGCGGGAGTCAGTCTTGAGTATGTTAAGTATGTTATTCCCTCGATATCAAGTCACAGTTGATGCAATACACAAAACTGTCAACCTGATTGTGATTTTACCACGCTGTTACAACACTCCGACTGACCACAGTTTACTGCGCGATTAGCGATAACTATCCGATCATTTCTTTCATCTTTGGAGATGGCTCCTCAACGCGGTCCCTGATTGGATCATGTCCACTCTTAGGTGCGATTGGTTGCTTAACCAGGAAGCGCGTTTCCTTTGACTGTTTCTGGTGATTTTATTGGTACGTTTCAAGACTTTAAATTCCAAACGGTTGTTACACAGTCTAGGGGAGTTTTCAAAGATACACCGATTGTTCTGGGTCACTCTGTAGTTTTGTATTTTGGCGAAAAACAACAAGATCTTAGCAATCTGCGTCAGTTATTTTAAGGTAGGTGGTAAGTATAGGATAACTGTTTAGTAGCCTACGATTCGCACTGTTTTTCCACAAAACGTGATCCCTGTTTTGCTTTTTCTCCGCTTTTCCTTAACTTTAGCTTAATCCCTGTGTTAGCTAATGCGGCTTTGTGAATGTTAATTTGCTGTTAGCGCTAGTAATGATTATAGCAGTTTACTCTAGACATCTAAAGCGGCGATGATTTTAGTGGAGTCTAGCGAAATGGTGACGAAAAGTTAGTACTAATGTTAGTTGCCCATGCCGAGTCATTTGCATTTCTCATTACACTCAGTGTTTAACGCTAGACCTAATGGATGAATGTAAACGATAATAGCATTGATCACATGACATATGATAAGACATTTTGGCATTGATCTGTCTACTCTTGGCCTTCAGTAGGTTAACGTTACCACGAGTTCACCAGTATTTTAAGCTACGTGTATACAAACGTCAGTTAGAAATCGCCACAGCCATGCCAGATTCTTTGGGAACGTTTCAGATTGTGTCATTTCACCAAATATGTTTTAACAGACCTTCTTCACAGCAGACATTTTGGCTTGTCCTAGCATCAAAATCACAGGTTATTATTAACAGTGGCTGCATACTACTTCATGTTGCTGTGATCCTTAAATGGAACAGAACAATTAGTAATTTAATTATTTACACTTTTGCTTTTCTTGCTATGACACGTCAAAGTCTGCCGCGAAAAGCGTCTATAGTCCAGAGATTGATTTATATTTGTGAGGTACATATACATAATGCCATATCGGCTAATTTTTTTTTTTTTTTTACTTTGAAAAATGTGACCTGTAACAAGTTCAACTTTAACTAAAATGTTCCTTTTACAGTTAAAATTGAACTTGTTAGTGCCCTCTAATGGGCAAACTATGCAATGGCAGCACTGGTTCTACTGCAAACGCCTTATATTGTTCACTCAAACTCTTGTTACTTATTAGCCAACATATACACAAATACAATACATAACTGATAAGATTATCTTGGCCAACAGATCAGTTTGGCACACAGCATCTTTGCCTGTATAACCTTTACGTCTTAATTCCCCCCCCACCCCCCAACCTCAGTCCTCTTTACACATATCGGTAAACACCATGACATCTTATCAGCTGGGTGCAGCTTTCAGGGTGATACCTTCCTCAGGGTAGAGTTAAGTCATTCCATGTCTGTTACTTACAGTTTGTGTCTCTACTCTCACAGGATGAGTTCTGTTGGTGTGAATGATGAGAATCATGGGTTGTACCCTGGAGGGAAGCACAGCAGCTCAAGTAATGACATTTTTGCCATTGACGAGCCAACTGGGAGACCCTCCATCCTTCGTCAGACAGAGAACCTGCCCAACAAGACTGCTCCAAAGGGGATGAAGGTATGGAATTATTTGTTAAAATTCATTAGATGTTGTGTCCCCATTCTAATCTAGATTCTTTAATGCAGCCCAGTGGTCCCAGGCTGCCACTCACAAACAAGCTAATGTAGTCTTAAAAAAAAGATATTAAGATGTCTGTTAGTTTTATTTCACTTGTTAACATGACATACTTGACATGCTCTAAATGTGGCTATATGAAGTTTGACCTCAGCCAATTTGTAGCCCATTTCTAATCAACTTTAAGCAGATAATTAGACTGACTAAATGACAACATGGTGTGGGTAGACAGAAACGGATAAACCATCAACCATCATTTTATTGGCTAACCCCTTTTTTTTTTTTTTTTTTTATTCTTTCAGTAAATAAGTGTGTCCAGGTAACATTCCCACATTGTTTGTTTGTAGGTTTGTTTTCACACTCCAAGAAGAGACCCTGTGACAAAAAGAATTCTATCTCCCAATAAGTCTGTCAAGATGACAACTCTGGATGAGTGTATAACAGCAAAGGAGTCATTACATTTGGATAAAATAGAGTAGGTATCATTTCCTTTACTGCAGCACACTCCTAATGAAATATCTGTTTAATTTGAGGAATTAATACTTTTTTTTGCAGTGTTTTGCCACAAGACAACTCTAAGCAGCTTGATGAGCCCCAGCAAGGTGATTTATCAAAACGACAGTTATTTCCTTCTAACATTTTCTGACTGCTGAGAAATTGATGAAATCCTCTTGACTTTTTCCACAGAAGCATCATCTTATCCTGATGACAACATGCCAATTAAAAGCAAAGGTGGCTACCAGCTGGATTTTGACAACCTCGATGCTATCAACCCATTTCAGAGCTCTAATATGATGGCCCTCACTCCTGCGAGGCCTGCTGCTGAAAACCCAACTACACATCAAGCTGAGGCTCAAAGCACAAAACCAGAGCATGTCTCAGAGGAGTCTACCAAGACGGAGCCGACACTAGATGAGACACTTCCATTCACCCCATCTGTGGAAAACTCACTGGTTGACCTCTCCACCAACATCAGCTCCGCAGACAGCAGTGGGATCGTAGTGGTGAGGATTCCAGATGTGGATTCCTGGACTGCAACACCAGATGAAAAGCAGCCTGCTAAAATGCCTTCAAGTGTTGACCAAGACAAAGCATCAGGCAGTTTTGTGGAAGATGCTCCACTGCCAGAGAGAGGTTCATATAACTTGGATTTTGATAACATGGAGGAAATTAATCCTTTCCAGACTGGTGGCTCTAAGATCCAGAATTCTCCTAGTCTTGTTAGAAAGGTGCCGGACAATAGCCAGTCTGCAGAGGAGCCACAGGTGAAGAAAAACAAATGTGCAGATGGTGTAGATGTTCCTGAGGAGGTCCAAGAGTCACTTGTTCAGCCTGAAGTCAAGCCAGAAGCTGCAGTGGCAGTATCCTCTGATGCAGCTAGACCTCAACCTGCTGAAACCCAGCCAGCTGCTGCCCCAAGCAAAGAAGGCCCCATCAAACTCGAGTTTAATTTTGATGACGGCATCGAGGTTAAAAAGAAACCTCTACCCAAGAAATTTGTCAAAAGGCCAAGTGGTGCAAAGTCTAAAGAGGGAAAGCCACCATCTGATGTCAACCCACCAAAAGAAACTCCACTGAAGCCTGATGCCAGTGATGTTGCTGATGTACCACTTCCCAAAAACTCTTACACATTTGACTTTGACAAGGCTGATGACCCAAACTTTAATCCATTTGGCACAACAACAAGCATAAACAACTCTCCAAAGTGCAGCAGGAAATCCAGCCCTGTGCTGATGAAAGCTGCCACTCCAGAGCAAGCTGACCAGCCTGAGGAGAAGCAAGCTCCATCGCCAGCCTGGTATGTGAGATTTTTAATGGACTGGGCCAAGTATTTATTTGTAGTGGACACTTCACTTGCCAGCAGCACTATTTCAACTGTATGTATTTTTGTTTTTTGCCCTCTGTAGTGTTGGAGAGAATGTCCCAGTAACTGAACTCAACCCTGGAGCAGTAAGAGAAATAATGTTGTTTGATACAATCCTAATATATTTCCAGCTCCTCAGTCCTTTCACAAAAAATATTTTTATTGCTGTGGGATAACAGGTTTCTGAACACAAAGCTGCTTCTGACCATGATGAGGCACGTCAGCCTGAAGGTGATCAGCTTGTGCAGAGTCTTCCTGAGCCTTCTGATCTGTGTCAGCCTGAGCAGAAGTCACAGTCCGGCATGTTAGACAATGAAGAGTTTGTGCCTGGAGCAACATGTAAGTGAACAGGGGCAGCAACGCTTGATTTGTCTAGTCTGAATATTGCAGTCAAAACCTGGAGTATTTTGAAAGTCTGTTGTGCTTCTATTGGAGTTAAATTACTTCTGTGCTTTGTTCCATATATTGAAAAGTGAACTCATTTTAATATTAATCTGTGAACCTTATCTCTAGTCATGGCCAATGACTTTGATGGACAGATCGACTACCTTGAGCAGTTTGGGTCCAGCAATGTAAGTTCTAACTTGATGTATGTTAAATAATCACATCCTTTGATTGTCAGCGCATCATGGAAAGGTGTTTAAATGTTTTATTGTTGTCAACAGTTCAAGGAATCTGCACTGAGGAAACAATCCTTGTATTTAAAATTTGACCCCCTTCTGAGAGAGAGCCCAAAAAAGTCTGCAGCCCCAGCTGCTCAGCCTCCTGTCCCCCATCCTGCTGCATTTGCCTCACGGTATGACACCGGCCTGTTTCGATTTATTGACACCTGCTGGCACTGGACATCAGAGCTGAAAGTGTCTTTTTTTTGTTTTTTTTTCACTCCAATTCAGGCTTGAAACTCCACAGATGATAGAAAAGGAGGGAACAAACAGGCCACTAAAGAATGATTTCAAGCTACTTGATGCTGCAGCACCAGTAAGATGATCTACCAGTGACTGAGTCTGTAACTAATAGTTCCCTACATTCACTGCGTTATTGATGCATCTTGTAACGTGATTTATTTACACTGTAACTGTCACGTAGACTCGTCCAGTCCTCGAGAGCCTCATCCCTCCTTTCCCCCAGCCAGCAAACACAGAGGATGCAATCATTGAAGTGCTGAAGTACAGTCAGAAAGACATGGATGCAGCCATTGCCAAAGTCCAGGCTGAAGTACGTCCTGCTCTATATCTTATTTGACAAATAATAGGTTTAAAACCGAGAAGAGGTTTTCTACTGGAAGTCATCTTGTTTGGGTGACTGTTTAGACCTTAGTCCCCTCTGAAACAATTTAGAGTAATCTGGTTCATCTATAGCAAGCACAGTGCATTGTGAACTAGGCGCAAGCATGTAATACCAAACATGACACTCATTAAACTTAACCTCTAGAATAAATACTCGTGTTTTCTCAAACAGACAAAGGAAAAAGAAGAGCAATGGAATGCAAAGTATAAAAAGCTGCTTGAAGATGGTCAAGAACTGAGGTAAGCTGTGTGTGTGGTTTAATTAAAATTCTATTTAAATATATCGATGTTTCAAAACATTTGACAACCTTTTTTTTTTTTTTTTCCACAAAGGAAAATAATTGCAGAATTTGAGCTTGAGATTGCAAAAATGATGGGTAAGTTTATATATAAAAGAAACACATTTCATAGATTGAAGGTTTTTTTTTTTTTTCTTATGTAATGTAATATTAAAAAGAGCGCCCCCCCCCCACACACACACACACACACATACACTGTTCAGCTGATCAACATAAGGAGAAGGAGGAAGCCCAAGTGAAGCTCAGCAAGGTTCTGCTGGAGAAGGACCAAATGTCCAGTGACCTGAACGCCCTGGAGAGATCCTTCTCTGAGCTTTTCAAGAGGCTAGAGAAGTACAGGGATGTTGTCGAAGGCTACAAAAAGGTTAGAAAACACAAACACTTGCTTATAAACAACAGGTACTTGACCTATTTTTAGGATTTAACAAAAATTGCTTGATGGGTAAACTCATTCTTCCAGAATGAAGAGACATTGAAAGCTTGTGCTCAGGATTACCTGGCCAGGATCAAAAAGGAGGAGCAGCGCTACCAGACCCTTAAAGCTCATGCCGAGGAGAAAATTGGCCAGTAAGAAACATCTGTCAGTCTGTGTTATTTTCATAAATCCTAACTAGCAGTGGTTGATGCCCACTTATTCTTTGACCTTAGGGCAAATGAGGAAATTGCAGGGGTGCGGTCCAAGTACAAGGCTGAGGTATCTGCACTTCAAGCTCAGCTGCGCCGTGAACAGCTGAAGGTGCAGTCATTGGAGAAAAGCCTCGACCAAAAGGTGAGCAAACAGGCCGGATGGTGTGTATTTGCAGATGTCTTGATGATTAAATATTCTTTTTGTAATTTTCTTTAACAGGAAAAGGAGGCTGAAGAGCTGACCAAACTTTGTGATGAACTTATCACCAAGGTCCAGAGAAGCTGAGTTGACTTGTAGATACTGTATGGTTTAAATACTTTTTTCTCTTTGTTCATGTCACTTGTATCATTTTGTGTAGAATGCTGTTTGTCTTTTTAATGTTCTTAATACTGTAAAAAAAAAAAAAATAATAACAATAAAGACTTAAAAGTTTCATGACTGTTTGATCTTTTTCTTCCAGTAACCACTAGGGGGAGTGTTTGCCTTCATAGTTTTTAATTTTGTCATCTGGATTTTGAAGTATTTTGTAAATATGGAAGGAGCAGTAGCATTTGCAGCTTCACATTTTACTCGGTGTACAATTTCCACTTCAGACACTCTGCTCCATGTACTCACCCTCAACTGTCTGGAGCCAAAGCCCCATCTTGCAAAGCTTACAACAAAACGAGCCCACCTGAGACAATGCTCCCCTTCTTCCCTGAGCAATCACAGGGTCCCGTCACATCACTCCCACAGCAGGACAATGCGCTTCCTAAATGGTGAAAGGAAATCCTACCTAGATTGGAGTTGAATGTGGTGGTGAAGGGGTAGATTCACTTAAATGGGATGCTGGTCGTTTGGTGTAGTCTTGCAGGGCCCATCACTCATCTAAAAGGGGACTGAGATCGCTCTTGTCTCTATAGTATCTGTTCAGTGGATAACTTCTGTCCCATTGCTGGCTGCCCTCTGCATCACCCTCAGCAGACACTTCAGCTCGCTCCAAGGATGAAAACTGACCTGTCAGGGCCCAGAACATCAACACCACTGGCTAAGGACTGTTACATCTTCGTTTGGAAGCACAGAGTTGGCAACAATTGTGTGCTAGTGAGAGTTCAGCTGGAGCAGATACATTGTCTGTGAAGCATGTGACTAATGTGTTTCAGGTCATTTAATGAAACTACCAAACTTTGATGATTTGGTTTTTGAGCCTTGAACAGAATACATCATAAAAGAGTCAAAAATAACCAATTACATACAGAAATGCCTAAATACTGGCATGAAAATAAATGTGATTAAACTGACTCAAACTGCACTATGCAAAATATTAGTATACTTTAATAAACATTACATAGGTAAAATGCCTTACTCTGAAAAATAAACTTTTGATACATTTTTAGCAAAATAAATTAAATATTCATGACTCAATCTGATTATAAATGACTACAGTTTCATAAAACTGTAGGTGGTGGTCAGAAAGACTCTGACTAGTGTTGGGGATCTACCTAAAAAGTTAAAATGATAATGAAGACCAGTTCTGTTAACATGAACATAAGTCTTTCATCCCTTGCAGTCTTAGGCAAGGTTTGCATGCAACAAAAAAATAAAACCTACCAGTCTACCCTCCATCACTTTAACAGACAACAGTAGTGAGAGATGGAGAAAGGTCATATAAAGGGTAGTGGTCAGCATTCCAAAGGTTAGGGATCTTTAGCAAACAAAAGGACTACCTGAGTAGGAGCGTAAAACCAGCCCTTTTGAGTACCATTGTCATCACTAGAACATATAGAGTGTCCTTTCACATACCAATATGAAAGGACAAACCTAATGATAATGTTTGCTACACCTCAAGCAGGAAAATGCAAAATTCAGCTGCAGATGAAAATCTTCCCACTGGCCTGAATAGCTGCGATTCACCTCACAATCTGCAGATTTCTTTGTCCTTTTTGTAGTAAGTGCACAACAATGATTAGTGCATTTCAGTGGTGTGAGGATCGGAAGGCTTAAAAAAACAAGAGCACCATATATGGAAGACTGAATGTAACAACATAAGGTGTGTATCACTGGTCATTGTTTTGTTTTTTTACAAATGCATGCTCTCCCAACAATGTCCAGGTGTGAGAATGTTTTTGAGGAGTAATGCCAGGTGTAATGTCACTTGGGAGCTGCAGTTTGGTCCGCAGCTCACTGTCCCTGTGAGATACTGGAGCAGTTAGTGGGGAGTATTTGGCACTAAGGCTAACACTGAAAATGAATGTGTTGATGCTGATGTACTTTACCATCCACGTGAGAGTGAGTGTGCGTGTGAATGTCTGTGTAGATTTTGGGGTAGATTTTAGGGTGGAGTGTTGGTGCTCCCTGGCTGAGGAGCAGCTGCTGCTGTGCCAGGTACTCCTCATAGTTCACAGAGTTCACGCAGTCTTTCTCTGGGCTGGAAGAGCTGGACAGCGGAGCCGCGCAGGCCCTGTCCCGCTCTCGATATGGCAGTCGGTGGGAGCTCTGCAGTACCTGCGCAGACGCAGCTGGAGCACTGGGAGGAGGGCAGTGTTTTCTGTTCTGGCAGAACCACAGCAGCACTGTGCCAAAGATGAACACTATTCCAGCAGGGATGCCGATGATGACAGGCCAGAGGAGGGAGCCAGAGGCTGGTGAAAACATGGGCGCAGTGGGAGGTTTTGTGTCTGCAAAAGGAGAGGGCCAAAAAGGAAAAGAATTGTTACTATCACATTTGATAAGTGCTTGAGGCCTGCAGCAAACAATTATGTCCATTCTCAATTAATCTGTGATTGTTTTCTAAATTCATCACTTAAATGTTGCAACAACATGAATCTTTGAAAAGGGGTTACAGGCTGTGGCCATCTGTTATTACCTCATCAATTTTCTGTATTTAGGTCATGTGATGATCAGCTGAGACGGACGACAAGATATGTTTGAAAGCTCTGCAAAAACCTAGTAAGTGGTAACCTTGAGTTAAGTCTGACTATACAGTAGCTGTTACATTTATAGCAATCTAAAACAAAAAAAGCAGCAAATCGTCACATTTAAGAAGCAGAAACCAAAGTCATGTTTCCTTGACAACTTCCATGATTAATTGAAGGATTGAAGATTGTCAATTTTCTGTTATTATATTAAATAACTGACTTATCATTACTGCTCCTAAATGCTTAGAGCTTCATAAACATCCTCAATGAAGACAATGGAAGTTGGCAGGGAGAATAAAATATGTTTAAACTGGATCAAAAACTAATACATAACAAGTGACAGTAAACCATGTGTGTGTTAGTGTTGCTTTGTTGTCATCTGTGCTCACTTGTACTGACATGTATCACGTGTATTGTGTTATATGCACTAATATTGTTCTTAGAAATAAACAAAATATAACACAAACTAACAGTGCAGATCCTTGTCTGCTCATGTGTTGCTCTGTTTGTAACACTGCTGTAAACAGACCAAGCCTTACCAGGCAGCACAGTGAGGAAGGCGCTGCGGAAGCTGTAGCCCATGGTGTTGGCGCCTAAGCAGATGTACATGCCAGCGTCCTCCTCTTTGGCACGGGTGATGAGCAGCTTGTTGAGGTAGGAGCCGTCGGGCCTCGACCACACCTCCCCTGTGGGCAGCACCATGAACCGGTGGTCCCCCACCTCGATGGTGGAGTTGTAGCGGCTTTCCTCGTTGGACTCCACACGTTTGAGCCACTGAATGACGGGCTTCACGTCGCTCCTCACTTTGCACTGGAACGACGTGGTGCCTCCGTAGTCGACGGTCGTGTTAACTGGGTGAGTGCCCGTTAGAACAGGCTTGGAGTTTGTCCTCTCTGCATAGACACACAATGAAAAATAGTCAGGACACACACAGACATCCTCTGACATGACAACCCTTCTGTGGATAGAAGAGGTCATAGTTGTCCAAACTGTTATTAGCCTCAAGGTTAGAACTCATAATTGACAGAGAGGCAGGATACCACATGTAACACAAGAAGTATGTGTGATTAGTTTCCTCTCTTTCGTTGCTCCTGGTTGTACAGAACACATTTCTCATGGGAAGGACTGGAGGGGGGGTAGCGGGTCTGGCTGACAGCTGTGCTTTAATCAGCTCCAGATTGGGTGGAGGGACTCGGAGCTGAACGGCTCTCTCTCTCTCTCTCCCTCTCTCTCTCTCTCTCTCTCTCTCCCCCTCTGTGCAGACACCAAGGAACAAGCCCTCACGCTCAAACCTGCTTCCTCACTATGCTTCTCATATACATGATTACACAAGCACATTCATCAATGCAGCGGGGATAAGACCTGCTGATCACCATCAGATGTACAGACTAGGTAGATTACAGCTCTTCTTCAGTCAGAATCAGACCCACTGTTACAGTGATTACGCTATTTTAATTTCCCCCAGTAATGTACAAAAGAGGACAGAAATGATCCGACCCAACAGTAATCATTTATATGTATTTATTTTACATCATGTGCTAGCACTACTACTTCCAGGTGACCACATTTGATACATGCACACCTCAGCCTCTCTGCAGGATACTCACGTACAACCTCAACTTTGTACGTGGCATTGATTTCTCCCGCCCGATTGGAGACCCTGCAGGTGTATCTGCCGCTGTGCTCTGGCGTCAGGTTCCTCAGACTCAAAGTCCATTTCTTTTGACGGCCCTCACCGACCTCCTGCTCTGTCAGCTGCGTGTCGTCCTTCAGCCACACGATGTCCGGTCGAGGGTTTCCACTGGCTGTACATTTGAGCCGCACCGAGCTGCCCACAGGACGAGCTATCACCCTTTTTCTCATCTTAGAGGGCTGAGTGAAGCGGGGACGCACTACAGAAGAAAGATCAAGAAATACTTAGTGACTTGTGTAAAAACAATACTGCAACTTTTCACTGTATATATGACTGGAGCTGACAGTTTATCTTCATTCACCATATCAGTGTTTTTTCCCCAAGTTCTAGTTGCTACATCTCAAATATAGAGTACTTCAAACCTTTGCTGAGCATTTTTAAATGCTGTGCAGTTTAAAACTTTCAGGTAAATGTTCACTTGTGTTCCAGACGCACCGATTTCTATTCATTTCCATAGGAATTCATAGTCAAATGGCAGATTATTAAAGAGAGTAAAGCAATGCAGACTTTTTGAATCAATCTGTGATTAAACTGCACAACCGAGCAACACATTTTCTGATTAAATGGCAAAAAAAAAACTCAATAATCTAACGGTGTGTACAGTTTGCAAGTAGCTGTGGAAGTACAAGTGATTTGTAGTCAATAGGATAAAGCATACAAAACTACATATGTACAGAGTTCCTACCAAGTTTTTCTGACTCTGTTCCTCGAGCTGTTCCAGGTCCAGTTTTGTCAGAGCCTGAGTCATCTGTTGACACAGCAGCACAGAAACAGGTGACTGTAGAGATTATAATCTGAATAAAGTTGTATAAGACGTGTGCCCATTTGAACTGATGACGCCATACTGCTGGACACCTCAGAATGACCTGCAGACCAGATATGGATCTTAAATTACAATACTGCAGATGCATTTCTCAAGGCCAAGGAGTATTAAATTCTATATTAATCTGTGACCGTGTCACAGCAGCGACCAGCAGCAAACAGTCCTAGCAAAGACTCTACCTGAGTAAATTTAGCATTTACAGATCGGTTCCTCTGAGCCGGGTGCATGCTCGGGTCATACGCTGTAGCATTTGGGAGTAATATGATCATTTTGCATAAGCTCAGCTCCGGGAGACAGCTGTGGAGTTTATGTCACTGACTGACATCACACAGCGGAGCTAAGATAAGGCTTAGAGAGAATACAGTATGAGTGAAACCTAATCGACAGTTTGTGACACGTATCAACTTGTGGAGTTAAGTGCTGATGAATTAACAGAGCAGATCGGGTTCCTCGGCAGTATCTGCCACTCCGTGCAGGAAGAAGCAGATGATTACTATGAGCAAACTGTTCAGCAGATGAGCCAGTTTGTGCCTCAGTTTGATTTTAGTGCAGCCTTGTGTTGGATTCTTCTACATCCAGCTCGGCACACTTGAATCCCCCTCACAGTTTGATTGGGCCAGGTAAAGAGACCAGATGTGACTTCTAACCCCCTCATTCTGCCTCCCTCTGAGTCCCCCCGAAACCCTCAAAGCTCTCCAGGGTTCTCCAGGTACAAACCCTCCTTTGTTTGTCCCCTGCAGCACCAAGCCCAGCCATGATGTCATGAATATTTGAAAGGGTTTTAACTGGCCAACTATAATAACCCATTCCTTGAAAAAAAGGAAAAAAAAAACAGGCTCCACAGGAAGAAATATTTCTCTGTTTCTCACTCGGGCTCTCCACATTCCTCCCAGTTCCTGAACCTCCCAATCCAAACAGAGCATGGTCCCACACTGCTGGGGTTTTCTTTGTGACATTTTTTTTCCTGAATCTATTTCCTCTCTACTTTTTAGTGATTCTGTGAAACAATGGCGTCTTTTATACGTTTGTCCTGTTAAAGCTATCCCTCACCACTATTGTCTTTACACAATGCTGGCCCACTATACTGCAGACAGGGGTGAACTAGAACATCTCACCGCTGCCAGCAATTGTTATTTTTGGAAAATTGAAAAATAAAATAATCAATAAATAAAGAGTGGCAGTGAGGCCTCTATACACACAAGGGCCCCGTTGTTGTGTACTGGAAAGTAAAAGCTGCAACTTATTTTGGAATCTGTGACAAAAAACAAAAATCCTTTAAGTACTGTGGAAATCAAAGCTTCGTTATGCAAACGGAAATTCAGTTACAGGAGCCATGAGTTGATGCTTTTTGCAAGCAAATACTGCAAGTGACACTAGCAAGATGTTTAAGATGCAAACAGCTCCTTCTATAGACAAACTGAATCCATTCAAGGTCTCTCTTCAGTGTTTAGGGTCTGCTGCCATTCCCTCCCACTTCATTCACAAATCCAGCCACAGGAAATGGGTCACTACATACTCTCTCCGCTGGCCTCCTGTGCCAGCTGACTCACAGGAAAAAGCCTGCTGATTTGGGGTCACAATGAGCTCCAGATGTTGATGGGGACAATGTAATGTCCAGCCAAGCTCTGCGCAGTGGCCTTGCATCACACTCTGCAAATCTCCAAACAGCTACCACATGTGATCGGTCACACACGGGGCAGCTTATCCAACAGTTGGCCTGACAACATCTCTGGAGAGGAGCAAAATGAAAAATGTGCTGTGCGAGCCAGTGTCTCCATGTAGACAACATGAGTGCTGCCAGCTCTGCATTAGTCCTGTCATAAATTATCTGTGAAGACATAAACATTCAAATCCAATCATGTAAACGTTAATATGACAATCCCATGTTAATGCTGTAACCTGAGTGGCTGAGGACAGAGAATATGCTCATTGCGTCGGACTCTCCCGGTGGGGGTGCTGGGAGTTGATGGGGCCAGTTGTCAGGAGACCACCCCAAACAGGGCCCAAACAGCCAGCTGGAGGGATTGAGGAGGCGCCATGTTGCACTGACTGACCAGATTCTTCAGATAGCTCCAGGGAGGGCAAGCTGTCAACTGGCAGATGGGAATAGGGATCTATGTCCAGCTACAGTGGAACCCCTTCTTCCTCTTACATCACCCCGCAAAACCCCTCACTCGCTCACTTCCAATTGCACTCCAAGCCTCTCCTCTGCTGTCTCTTAATCTTCCTGTCTTTCTTCTGCTTGGCTTCTCTGCTGGTTCCCAGGCCAAGTCTAAAAAGTTGGGCTTTTCATGTTGGGCCTTGAACTTGAACTGCTTCCAGGATTTTGTCGACCCTCCTTCCCTGATCAGCACTATAACTTACTGCAGTTGCTTCTTGTGCTTTTTCACTCTGTGATCCAGTAAAAATAATAAACCCACCTTGATGGATACTGCATGTGGAGCTATGCAGGGAGCTGGCCCTCATTTACAGGGTTTCAAATAAATAGACTCTTCTCTAATCTTTCTGAGAAACACAGCAGGGCTCCCAGCAGGTTAACGACATGCAACTCAATTATTTCTCTAACAATTAGCTGATTCAACCTTAATGGAAAGTGTTGCTCATGATTATTACAGATTATCTGGCTGTAGTCTGCAGACTTCAATCCTAGAAGTATTTTGACAGTGACCCCTAATCTTTGGGGCAAACAGACACCCAGAATGCAATTCACCGCTGACGGGACAATTATCTATAAAAACAGCCCCTGTGGTGATGGCCTGCTAGAGTCTAATGTGATGACGGACAAGAGCTCAGAAAGAGGGGCGGGTGTGTTCTTGTGAGATGCACACTGGCTGCTGAGTGTCATGCACTCACCACCACCAGAGGACAAGTAGGAAATGGAACAAGCCAGATCAGGATTAAGAATCAGGCCAGAAGGTCTCTAGGTAACTCCATAAAGGGCAAAAACAATCCTGATAAAAATCTCATGGAAATATGCTTCCAAGAAAAACTTACAATTGAACTTTCAAAACTATTTTTCCTAATGTAATCACAGAGTGGAAGCAGAGCAACACATGCAGTCACGCTGAACTAATCTCACAGCAACCCCCCCGCCAGCTTCATCACAGCAGTCTCGAAATGTTTTCACTGAAGTCTTCATTCTCACTCCGTCAGACTAATTATCTGTCACACAAACACACCACAGGGAGAAAGTGTTATCTATCACAGAGATTAATTTGATAATTATATCTATCTCCTGAATGCGCGTGGGTGTAGTTTGGCCTTATTTTGTCTAAGTCACCACTCCTTGTCTCCCAGCTTTGAGTCAATATTTAAATCTTAAAATACATTTCATATGTATGTACAGCACAAAAATAAGTCATCTCACATGTTTAAAGAGCACAGCAGCCAGGGAAACCCCTCTTTTCCTTATTTGAATTGGGTTAAGTTCACCAAGGTTCTTTAATTGGGTGTTCACCTTCAGCAATGCTCTAATCTTTCAGTTTAGACACTACATTTGGCACATTTTAGTTTATTTATTCACTCCCTGTCTTATAATTTCTACTCTAGCGACACTAAAACAATGTGAAGATCCACCTGCTGCCATTTACCCAGATTTATTTTAAATTCAAATGTTCACCAATAATCCGGATTGTTTGTTTTGATGAAAATATCTACAGATGTTTTATTGCTTTCGTTTTAACTCTGGATGATTTCAAATCACATCTTCTGAGTTTAGTCTAAGGTTCCCATTTGAATAAAATCTACATTTATGTTCTGCAGTGAAAAATCGACATAGTGCATTACCTCAGATAGAAAACACACCAAACGTTCTGTCAATTAGGTCACTGAAACAAACTTAATATTACATATATATGTTATCCATCACATGATTGATTCTGAATATGTCTCATTATGAAGAAAGACATAGGTATGTCTGACTTTGATAATACATAGCACAACTGTAAAATGATCCTTGACATTATAGCTGGCTCTGTGCCTCAATCGCTAACCTTTCATTTTAGCACAATCAGCAGACACTCCTCTCTTTGAACTCACTGGCAAGTTCTGCTTGAGGGAGACTAAAATAAACTTTGGCCTCGTCTTTTCCTAAGTCATCAGCATGCTTTACTACAAGCACCATTTACTGAAGTGCTGTGTTTTCCACATCTGCACAAGACTGTGCTGCAGCTCCTCCTGCAAGAGAGAGAGAGAGAGAGAAAGAGAGAGAGAGAGAGAGAGAGAGCCCAGACTCTGGCCCTAATTTGGCATCTTCTAGTAATTAGACTAAACACAGCCTTCACGCTCCACTCTGCTCATTCATCATGCTCTACTCTAGTGCAGAGGAATTGCGCTGTATCCACATGCACAAACACATAACACACTCGTTTAGACTGCGCTTAATCCTCCAGGCCCCATTCAAGAGCTGTGTGAGAGTCTGAAGACAAGCTGGTACTATTACACTGAATGTGTTTCTTATTGCAGCGCTGCAGACCTCCTGCCTCCACAGAGTGTAGCCTAAGGAAAAGGAAGAAAGAGCCTGCGATCCAATTCAGTCAGAGAGGATGAAGTGGTATGAAACAATATCCCACGCCACTGTTGACTTTGGGCAGGGAGCGATAGGGGCTGTAACACATACAGTAGATGAGAGGATCAAGCACTAAACCTCCACATATCCACTTGTTTTAGACAACCTCTGTCAGTGATGCTGTCTGTTCACATTTGAACTGTGGTGAGATTTCTGACTGCAGGAGAGTGTTACAAATATGGCCACAAAACACCACAGCAGAAGATGATGGGGTCCGACGGTGCACATCATCACCACTGTCTCTGGTTTTAGTTAGCACACGGGTGATTTCATGTTTTATAGATGCTGAGTTAGAATTTTTAACAAGAGTGATGCATTTTACAGCCCTCGGTGATCTCATCTCAGGAGCCAGCAAACTGAACGCCATCTGCACTCACCAATTACGATGAGGGTGTAGTTGATGTTAACGCTACCAAAGCCATTCGTGGCCTTGCAGATGTAGATCCCTGTGTCATCTGCCTCCACCTCCTTGATCTTCAGGCCCATGCGAAGGATACGGAAACGAATCCAGCCGCTGTGGATGTTGCGCCCATCTTTGGTCCACATGATGAGCGGCGGCGGGTCTCCTTCCACTGGACATGGCAGCTTGATGGCGCTCCCGAGTCTTGCCGTCTGTCTGTGAGACACCTTGTCAGACACCCGCGGAGGTCCTGATGACACACAGACGCAAAGGTAAAATTTCTGAAACAAGATCTTCAAAACAAATCATGTGGTTCAATCTGCCGCCCTGGTCACCATTAAATATGGGCTTCTGAGGCTGATATGGATCTGAAATGGTATACCACAACTTTAACCTTTTTTAATTTTTAAAATTAACACTTACAGTAACTGACAAGGGAAAAAAGAAGAAAAGATTCTACAAAATAAACATAATTTGTGTAAATCATCCACATTTCCATTGCAAAATGTGTGACTCCATCTGCTGATGAAGATTTTCTGATGTGACCAAAATCTCCAGAACAATCACTGAAGGGCCCTGGTGGTGAAATTGTTTTGCCAACTGCTGTTTCGAAAGGGGAACAAAAAACCTTTGAATTTCAATTTGTTTCTGCTTTCAGCTCCTGTTAATCATCTTGTGGACCCTTTGGGAAGTCCTAAAGCCAGAGCTGAGAAACTACTGATCTAGACTGCCAAATGAAAAACTACAAGCTCCTAATGGAAACTCACCTCATGAGTTAAGTCACAGGGAAAATAAATGGATGCACAGACACAGCAGTGAAGAAAATAACTTCACAAAATCAGCATGATTTGGGAATTGAATAAATACATACGCTGCATGGAAACTGCCATTTGTAGTTTTTGGATAACAAGGAACGTCCTTCATATTGATCAGTTTTTAAAATGTTAATTTAACATTAAATTTTGAGTTTGCTATCCAAGTGGTATTCTAAAACCACGAATGTTTAGATATCAAAGTAGGTCAACAGATAGCCAGTTTATTGAAATGAAATAAAATATCTGAATTTGATTAAAAGCAGCTCTGAACACAGTTAGGTTGTGGACAGATGGAATGAGATAATGGTAATTTGTCATCTTTGTGTTTGATTACCCAGAAATGTTAAAACCAGATTGTGATAATTGGACAAGGCCTGTCCTCCACTGCCTGCACAGAGCGGGCAAAGTGTTCTGGCTTTGGTTTCGCGTAGCGTGCGAGAGATCAAAGTGATGAGGTGGGCGGGTCGCAGCGAGACGGACAGCAGCCTGTTCTCTCTGCTCTTAATTGGCTCAGGTCTGCTCCCTCAGATCTGGTGAAGTGGAGCGGGCCGAAACACCCTGTGATGGTGTTAGGAGGCCTACGCTGCTGTTCAGCTAAGCCCCCTTCAAAAACAAAACCCAGAATTACTGAGCAGACTATAGACACTGAAGAGAAACAGGACACTAGGGGTAGTGAAAGAGGGGGAAGAAGTGCAACCAAACCCTCAAAAATACACAGTACAGTCCGTGCCTCATAACAAATGGTCGGTCTGGTAGCAGTAAAACCAATGGGGAGGCTAAATACACATGGCCTCTTCCAATGCACTCAGACACACACACACACACACACAAAGTCACATTCCTTTGGTGCATTTCACACATATGGTAAACAAGATGTTCATTATATTGATGGGGCTGCACTAGGGGAGGGGGCAGATAAGTCCATCTGGCCATTTTATCCATCACACTGGCAACAAATTTATCTCAAATGCAGGTACAACATCTGGACTGTTGAGCCAGTGACCTCAGATACTAAAAAAAGCTGGACATATTTCTTCCATCTAGCCACAAGACTGGAAAAAAGCTCAAAACTTATGAGCATGAAACCAACGAAAGCCTCCTTCCTTTTTGTTTCTGTTCCGACTATGCATGAAAACACGTACACACTAAGAGTTTTCCTTCCTCTCTGCAGATGCCCTTTCCAGCATTCACAGGAAACTGGAAGTGTCACTGTTTATGTCTGTGGAGAAAACACAACCACAGACTTTTTGGCTGTTGGCAACTGGTTCATATCTCACTTTTCTTCAACCAGGAAATCAGAACAGAGGTGTTCACTGTTTCTTACTTCACAGTCTCTGTTTCAGGACCACAAACAGGTCACACCACTGGCTTGGTGCAACTGGGGCTCACACATGTATGGACCGAGCTGGTCCTAAAAGACCAAATCACCCTGGAAAAACAAATATTCACCTCAACCAAATCTTGACCAAACAGGCTTCAGTTATCTCTTCTGAACTACTGTCCGACAAGACACTCAGCCATGTGTTCCTCCTGGATCAATGGAGAGAAATGATGTATGAAAACAAGGCCTGATTCATGGCAAAGTTGAAACAAATCATCAAAAGATATTGACCCTACATCGTTTCTGTCAAATGAAGATCTCTAAAAGCTGGAGGGACATTTCTTGAAAAATAAAACAACACAGGGGAACATCCATGCTCTTTCCCATTCTTAATTAGCTACAAGTACAGATGCTGCAGAGCCGTCCTACAGTTTACTTTGTGCTAAGCTAGGCTAACAAACCTGCTGACTGCACTTCATATTTACCATACAAATCTAAAAAATGATATCAATTTCCTCATCTCACTGACAAAAACAAACCAACAGAAAACCAAGCAAGTACATTTCTTTAAATGTCTGTTTCTTTAACTGTGAGGGTTTATGTGATCTTCAGATTCAACTTAGTCAGGCTGACTCCAGCTCCTGAGCTCAATAAACTAAAAAGCTTTTGCTTGTGCTTCAGTGATTTCCTCCCTCCATCTCCTGCTCCTAAAAGCCTTTTGAAGTCCTTTTGAAAAACAAGGCATGAAGAGGTGCTGAAATCAAGGACATCAATGAATAACCTAATAAGTATTTGGTGCTGTGTGCATGACCGCCATCCTTTCTTCAATAGGAACTCTCCTCCTCCTCCTCCTCCCTCCCAAGGACAAGTTCTCTTAACCTTGGAGTTGAAAGCTCTGAAACCACACAAAGGTACCTCTGTGGCAAAGGGGAATTATTGCCTTATCTGCTTGATTGTAAGACACACAGTCCGAAAGACAACATATAATCACACCATATGAGAAGCAAAATGTAGTGTAGCTGCACTTTTCTCTGCTGTTTTAGGTTCTGCCTTCTGAGGCTCTCACCTGGTTGCTGAACTAAGCATTATGGTCCTCTGAGGAGGCTACGATTCATGGAAATCTGCCAGATTTATGACAAGCTGCGTTTTACAGTGTTCACTTATATTGTTAGAATCGTTAGCTGCTCTGTAAATAGAAAACGATACACGCGACCATATGGGCTTTCCCTTACTGCAGCGTTGGTATGGCTCTCCTTATTATAGCCGAGCTCCATGTGTGAATGGAATCTTTCATAGTGCAGGAAGAGGCAGAGGAGGAGGAGGAGGCCTGGCGACTCATGGAATTAGCCCTGTTTTTCTTTGCTCATTTTGGTGATAGATTATTTTAAGAGAAAGGGGCACATTCAATAAAAGGCATTTTTGCGATTCAGACTAAATATAGCCGTTCCTACAAAACCTTGAGAGCTGGCTAATGAACTGTTGATGTGACGTGCAAGCGTCCACGGAGGGAAGTATGTTAGGAAATGTCAGAATGCAAATGAAAGAGAAAGAGGGACACACAAGACTTGAGTAATGTTCGGATGTGCTGGCACTTTTCTCCTCATTTATTTTATCCTTTACAAAATGCTGGCGATTTGTAAAAATGTGTGCAAAGTGCTTTTTTTGTCAATGCAAACATGTCAATAAAGGACTGACTTGGCTCCTGACAACTGCTCCTATAGCAAACACCTGGAGCTCAAGGAAAATGCAGCTAGAACAACTTTTAACAATGCAGGCAGCGCCGTCTGCCTAATACGGGACATAGTTATTCAAACAACACTGTAAACATCTTTTAATATAAAGGATTTGGGCCTCAGTCTCCAGCCAACTGCACATTTTTTGCTTTTTGCTAAAGCAATTCATTACTTGGATAAACATGGATCTGAGTGCATGTGTCTCCAATATGCAGTATTTACATAAAGGGTACGAGACAGAAGCTGAAGAATGCTTCCTCCTACTCAGCAGCACTGTGTTAGCTCAACAGACCTTACAAGAGCAGACAGAACATATGACATTAAGGCTTAATGGACCCTGTGCTTTCAGGGAAATATTCTATCATGCACCTCTGGAGCATTGTATAATACAAATCAACAAAATGGATGTAGAGTTCAAAGAGCATGAGAGGGATGTAAGAAATGCACAACAGTACATGAAAGCTAGAAACCAAAGCCAGAGGGGTTTGGTGAAGGTGAGTGGTGAGGCAGACACAGCAGCTCGGGGAGTGTGTGAAAGGCCAGAGATTCTGTTTAGAGCCTCCTGCTATATATTTCACAAGCAGAGATAAAAATCAGCATAAAACTGTGAGAGAGAGGGCGTAATACGCCACCTTGGCAATTCAAGAAAGGGAAGGAGGGGAGGCAGCAGGGTGGTGACAGGGTGAAAAAGGAGGGGATATGTGAAGTGGCAGGGGAGGCTGTTCTGACAGCAGTGGTGCAGCGGAGGGTGAAGAATGCCGTCTTTTCTTACCCCTCTAGACGTCCTGCCCAGCTACTTCACCCAGTGTGGTAATCAATACCTGTTATTTTCCCCTTTCTGCTTTCCAATCAATAGATAAGAGTGGGGTAAAACCAGCCGGGACAATGGCTCTTTCTTCGGCACCATCTGATGTGGGCTGAATAGCAACTGCCTCAGTGGTGGGAATGGTACAGGAGGAGCTATTGGGTGACATGAGGGAGTATAGGAACAGCAGGTAGGGGGAGGAATAAAAATAAAGAAGTAAAAAGAATAAGATGCTCCAGTCGATCTATCTGATTAAAGCAGAATCACTGGAGTAACACTGATGCCTGTTTTCAGTGAAACTGCATCTGCTTCCTTTACTGATGGCTCCAGAACAACAGGCTCCTGCTGAGTCCTCATCAAAAGAACAGGAAAGAAAGAGAGAGAGAGATTACTTCAGCGTCATAAAGCTTCTGGAAACATCTCCATCATGCAGCCTATCCTTAACAGGCCCCACTGTGGAGCCTTTCCACTCAGCCGCTATATTTCATTAAACTTGACTGCCTTCTCCTGGCCCCAGCTGCTTCTGTCGGAGCAAAGGAGCATGTGTGTGATTGTGTGTGTGTTTGTAGACTCCTT